TTTTAGGAAGTTCAGATCGGTTTCAGTTCAGATTGGGTGTACATCTATTCAGGTCAGTTTGGCCTGGTCAACCCGACCTGATGCACAACACTAATGCACATTCATGTCTTATTGCTAGCAATGCATTTGATGGATGAGGCACTTAAGTCATTATTCTACCTTGCACCAGTACGTACCAGTACCAATTCAATTACAAACGGTGAAGATAAAAGACACTAGTTCTAATTGAGGTCAGCGAAAATCAAATTCAAAGTGTTATAAATGTGGCTATAAGTTGCAAGGCAGGAAGCTACCGGTATTGGGTTTCTGTTTACATGTACATGTATGTTGCCATCGGGATCTATACTTTGTCATATCATATCAATCAAATCAAGTTTAAGTGTTCTATGAAAATGTTTTGTTCCAGTAGGCCTAAACTTTGTACACAAGCCAGAATGGGATACATGTATATGTAGCTACATGTAGCTAGACTGAATGCTACAAACTAGGCATAATTTTATTACTGAGGAATAATTCTTTATCCTGAAGTCACTTTATTCATCGTAATGGTCATTACCAAACACACATGCAGTTTGTTGAATGACAGATAGTAATTTTATCAAGTGTTTCAATATTTCAATCCAAATTCAACTGATTGCAAACCGGCTTATCAAACCTCGGTATGTTTGATGGTCGAGTCGTTAGAGAGTCTCCACTGGGAAATCAAGTTGAGGTTTAAGTCCAACCTGATCATGCTAATGACTCGATTCTCACACTGTTTATAGCTGCTTAAATGGGGCCTGATTTAGCCATCCATACGTACATGTAGGCCTAAGTGTTGAGAGATGGGAAACACTTAAGTTGGGATGATCTCAACTTACATAGTTGGGACCAATGGTCTATTTGGGGTGTAATAATACTACATCCAGACTTCCTCCGTATTCTGAACCACATTGCCACCTCTTGACGGGGTGGAAAACTTGAGGATAAATAAGTGTCTTGTAACTAATCTTGCGATCCAGGTTAGGCCTAAAAAAAAAGAGTAGTCGGTCTCTGGTCAGTGTGCGCGTCGATTTTGATCATGCGCGTCAAAGGTTTTTTTTCTCTCAAATTTTCCATGGTAGCTAAAACAGCGACCTCTATTGCCACACCGCCTCAAATTTTCGCGGGTGGCTCAACCTGGGAAGGGCAGAAAGGCAAAAGGAGGACACCAATGCAAATCATGGAGGACACCAAGGTACATGTACATGTATAAGAGGACACAAACAAGCAAAATAGCACCCCCTTGTCTGTACAATCCAAGCTTGAAAAAAAACCCCAAAACCCCAAGATGCGTTGCCGCATCAATTCTGGAAGTTTGATCTGATCAGAGACCAACTATTATTTTTTTCTGGGGGGGGGGGGGGGCGCCTTAGTTTGCTTCTGAACCTGAAATATACAATTTTGCGAAACAAGTACATAATTATTTCACAGAATAGCTAAACTTTTAGCAGCATATTTTGACACATGGTGGCAGTGTGGCTAGGTCAGGCCACAGAGGAATTTTCTAGTATCTTAACCATTTTAGTTAACATGGTCCATCCACTATCCTACCCTCTTGCCACAAAATATCAGGGAAAGAAGATATTGCATCCTGACGCCACTTTTCTTCATCATTTGGCATGATGGCCAAAGTCATAAAATCGTAACTTAAAAACTACATAGGTTACAAAAATGACATTTACCCGTCAAAATTCCTGACATCTTCGGGTTATACCAAAATTCAATGAAGTCAGACAACCAGTTCTGAAGATGTGGCTAAAAATGAGACGCAAATGCCTGAGGTGCTCCATTTGCAGTGCGTATACCTCTGTGTGAATCCACGGACAATCGGGTCATCGCACTTCGGCCCGATTTCGTGGACTTTTCTTGACTCGGACAGAAAGTGCCGACTTCTTTTTGTCCTGTTTCCATGCATTTTGATGGGTTACAAACGTAACAGGTCTGTGAATTTACAATGTATTTTCATTCAGGTCAGTTGAACCATAGAGATAGGACCAATATGCCACGCCACGGCTAGATAAAGCAAAACAATAAGATTGCGTATGGCATTTATTTGTCCATGAAAATGGCACATCATTATTGTTTTTAAGAAAGTGAAATATCTCCACTTCTGGTCATCTGATTTCAAAATTTCAAAAAGTTTTCAATTTCTGAATGCCAGCCTGACATTTTGAAAGTAAACCCATGTTCAATAGAGCCAAAAACAAAATCACCGAAAGTGCCTATTAAATCATGGAGGAGGGAGTAGACGGCTATTAAAATATTGAAACACATGAATCTGTGACTGAGAAACACTTTAAATTTTGTTAGAAAATAGGCCTAGGCCTACATGTACATTGTACATGTAATTTGAAAATGCACTTGAATTCTTCACAGACTTGACTTTGTACACAATCAAAGAAGGCATCTGGGCATACATTTCTTTCCCAGTTCTGTATGGTTAGATTGTTGCTTTACAACAATGCCATTTATTGGCAGCTATTTGATGATTCCAATACCTTTAACAACATAAATAAAATTCGATTTGGAAAGAATGTTGCACCCTGACGCCACTATTTTTCATCACATATCATCTCAATGAAGGTCAATCAGTCCTTCACAAAATGTTGAAAAGACATGAATCTGGGAGTGAAAAACATTTCCAATTTTGTATTCAAAATACTCTGAAAATGCACTCAACTCTCCATAGACTTGGATACACAACCAAAGAAGTGGCGTCCGGATACTACATCCTTTCCGTGGATTTTGTTAAAAGTCCAAAAATGAAAGGGCAGCATACCCGGTACATCACACACACGTATCCATTCTTAGCAACTTGCAACTTCACGCACCGGTAAGCTACACATGACACATTCAGTGACACTGTACACAGTCCGTCGTACTCCTGTTGGGCGAACCACTTTCATGACTTTGGCCTGATTAAAACTCCATGGGCGAACTCATGATCACTAAACCAACAAGACACTAGGTGATTTCCAATAAAATGAAACAAAGTAAACTACTTACCTGAACTTAAGTGCTGTAACCAAGCGGAAACGGTTCGTGTGCATGCGTCCGCGACCGGCCCCCCCCCCCCCCCACACAAATGAAGTTTTCCTTTATCCGGCATGGCGCCCTCTTGTGGAACAAAATGGAGAATTTACTAAGGGAATAAATTAATGTGTGCTCGAGAGGTTTTAATCACTCTGTTTAAGACCGCTTAGAGTCTGGGTGCTGATAATTACCCGAGCCAAAGGCGAGGGTAATTATCAGCACCCAGACTCTTAGCGATCTTAAACAGAGTGATTAATACCGACCGAGCACATATTTATTCCCATTCATAAATACCTTTTCGGTCAAAAAAATATAGTATTTCGGGCAAAAATCCCGATTTTGTTCAACAAGTTCACTTCATGCTCTTTGAAACATCCTTCTAGCTAAATAATCGAGTGTTCTATAACAGCGGACATTGACACGAACTCATGCAATAACTGCAGACGAGTCTCATCCTGCTATTCTTCAAGATCACTCGAGGGACGGACTAAGCGATCAAACCGCTCTTTTGATAACGCTGCAGGAAGATATTTAAAACGGGAATTGTAAACACCAGTGTTTTTGTTTAAACTCAAGTAATATATGTTTTAAGTGAAGTTTGTAATGTCCTTTTTTATGATCATTGAGATTTTACATGTTTTTAAGGTGTTACATAAGTGTGTTGCAGGGGCGGCTCAATGACTCTACGCACAGTTGGCCGCCGTGAAATCAAAAAGTTGGGGGTGGGGTGAGGTGGGGGTGGGGTGGTACCATCTTCCAACGGGGGCGCTGTTCAAATCCGACTATCATGCACACTATCGCACAAGTGTTCAAATACCCCCCCCCCCCCCCCCTTACCCCTATACTGGCTACGCCTCTCTGTCCGAGACAGGCGGACATAGCTAATTATTATTATTGTTAATAGTTTTCTTTCCGTCAGAGAGGGGGGGGGGGTTGACCCCCTGGATCCGTACCTGCATTTTAAATGTTTAATTCTCTATATAGGAACTTTTGTAGCGACCAATTAAGACATATATATATATTGTATGTTTATGCATAACATGTATAATGTAGCAATAAACAAGCAATCCAACTTTCACTCGGGGGACTGCCATGTGGCGTTTGTTTCTGCATTAATTTCCTATTTTTGCAGCACAAAGATGGGGGAGGGGGCCGTCATCTGCCACAGTTATGTTTTCCATTGTATGTGTGGTCACGGTCAATTCCTTATTTGGTTAAAATTACTTCTTTTCAGAGTGCTTGACGCATGGGTTAAGACTATTCAATTTTCTGATGATTGTCAGAATTAGGTTATATCTGCAACCAGTAATTTAACCGATACAGGAAAAGCTATCAGAAGGGAGACAAACACACATTAAAACAAAATCACTCGCTCAGACAAAAAGGAATTGCACTTTAATCTAATCCTTTTTATTTTACCAAAGGAAAAAAATGAGAGAAGTTCTTTCATAATAGAGAAAACGAAACGAAAACAACAACAAATCATGAACATAAACTTGCCTGAAATAAAGGGGAAATACGTTGCAAACCGTGTCCTTGTATTTCTTTATGAGCTTTGCTTTTCGGATTTTTTTGTTTATCCAAATCGCTGCTCAGTTCAAGCTCTTCTACGATGTTGTGATGCAATTTCTAACGGTATTTTGGGCTGGAATTATGGAATCCCTCACGTTTGTTTTGCCTCTGAACGACCAGGGAATAAATTGCAATTTGTGCAGTAAGGCATTTTTTTTTTAAAACCAATTAAAAAAAACAAAAAAAACATTAGGTGACATAGATTTTACCCCGGGGAGATCGCTTATTCAAGAATAAGGCTGTGAGTTATACACGACTGAACTCTACATCAGTCGCACATTGCCAATGTTCAACAAAACCCTCAGTGTACACTGCAAAAACTGTAATGTAAATTTAACACCATTCGGTATCTATATAGGACAACACCAGTAAGATTTAACATCAGATGGTCCTATATAGATACCAATGGTGTAAATTTAACACTGCAGTTTTTGCAGTGTACAGTATATTTGTTTCGCTATAAACGGCTGTCTTTTATAGTTAAAGCTTTTGACATGATGATATAGGCCATATCTAAGTGCATATTTTAGTCCATAACTTAAACTATGATTTTCTCATAAAAGTATCTGTATTATCTGTGGTTTAATCTTATTTTTGGATGGAAGTATTTTCATGACTATATCAATTTCAAAAAGACGGAATATATTTTTGTATTCAGTTCTAGCGTTTCTTAATAGTCTCCCCAGATGTTTGTAATATTGGCTGATTCGGAGCGAGGTTTGGGAACAGAGGATTATAGAGCATTACTGTTATATTTGACTTGATTCTTGTTTTGACAGCCCGATGGTTCTATGAAAAAGTGTTCCGTTCAGCGCAAACTCTTTTCCTAAGATGGGCTTTGGTAAAGACATGCCCTTTATTGTACCATCTTTCCCATAGTTGTGGGAGTTATTTCTTCAGAATTCAAATTAGTAAATATTCTTGGTTAACTCGAATTTGGAACAAAAAAGCTTAAAGGAACGAAAACGAAAAGAATTTGGAACAAAAAAGCTTAAAGGAACGAAAACGAAAATGAAAATTGGAACAAGATGGGCAATTCCACGGTGAGTTTCGTTAGTTTAAGAGATGAAGCAACGCTCTTTAGGCTCCTATATCAACATGTATGCCTCCCATGAATACATCTCACCAGGACTTATAACACAGCCATGCGGAGCAAGTTTGGTGAGTTGTAATGAGGTATTTTGTCTCCTTGTATTTAATACCACATTCGAGATTGTGATGCTTGCAGTTCCAAAGATTTAATAAATTATCCACTTTTCAGCCGTATCCGCTTCTCCGTGGAATTGCCCAAAAATAATGAAATTGAAACCACAAAATTTGAATCATTAATATTCGTGATTAACTCAAACTTGGAAAAAAGGTTCAAAGGAACGAAACAAAAACGGAAACAAAAATGGGAACAAAATGAAACTTAAAATCCAAACTAATTCTAAGAAATTTCAAATGGACATTAGAATGCGGTGTACCGTGGTCGATTCCATGTCCGGTATAAGTCCGAGACGACGGCTGATTCCTGCAACAAATCAAACATTTAAGATGAACTTATAATTGAGTAGAAAGTGGATAAGCATGCATACGCATTTGGTGTTTAAGATGTTTCCTCTTTTGAAAAAAACACCCAGTTTTTGTTGTTGTTCCTGGCGAGTAAAAAAAGCTACGAAATAGTATACTTTAAGTACGACATTATTTTGTCACATGGCGCAACCGCAAAAGGAGCCATTAATCTTTTATTAAAAAAAAGACCCGGACATGCCTGATTGATGATATTTTGTACAATACAAGCTTTGGATGCCTAAAGGGCTCATTCTAGGACGTAAAACTAAAGCCATATTCGACTGAGAGTGAGGAAAAACGTTACAATACCAATCTGCTCTGAACAATTTAACATTTGTGATTAAACATACTGTAATGTTTTAAGCCACATTAAAAAAAGTGAAAGTGAGGCTATAGTGAATAAATAGCCTGGCACCATCCCCTGCAACAGGTCACAGTTTATAAAATACATTCAGGGAACACGACAAAAATGGCTAACTTGTGCATAAGGCCCGTACTAAATTTAGCTAGCCTCACCCAAAGCTACAAGCAGTAATTGGTGTACAGTACTTGTCGCATTTGTAGCATTTGGCACCCAAAATATAATCTGGTGTGTGGCAAACGTAGTTTGTTGCCGGTGTTGGAGAGGTAACACAATGCGAGCTACTGGTTTTCATCAGAGATAAAACATTTTGCTTACGTGTGCCTAATTGACTTTCAAAATGTCACAAAGAAACTCAATACTACACAAGACTATTTTGTTGTTGTTGCAGATGGTAATCCATCCAATTTATTCTATGGGGTTGTGATTTAGCTAAGGTAAATATCAGTTATCTTGCCCCGCTTCGGTTCGACAAGTTTTGAAAATGTGACGCCAGAACTATAATAGTGTTTGGTGAGCCTGTCCATTTTGCGCCACAGTGCCCTAAATTTTGCTATCAGAAGCAAGGAATAGCTCACCTTGATACGTCTACGGGTCTTGCTCATCATTTTTCTCCTTCGGCAAAATCTTCTCCCGTCGCGGATACGACTCAATGTTGTCCCTTTTGACTTCATTATCTAGAAATGTATATCAAATACGAATTTATACACAATTGGTAATTTTGTTATAGCAAGAAATAAAATACTTAGAAGAAATTGAATGTACGGCTGCATATCAAAATGTCTTGACGTTAGAACCAGGGACGTCAATCGCTTCTCAAAAGTGGGGGGGGGGGGGGGGGGGGGGACAACATACCTGGATCAGAACTGATGCGAGCGCGAAGCGCGAAGCCCTTACGGCGTAGGTTTCGGGGCCCGTTTAAGGGCCCCGACAAAAAATGGATTCCAGATGCTCTGTGGGGTGTGATCTGAAGCAATTTCTTACCACTTTTCTCCATGCTTTAACTAATATTTTCGTAGCAAAAGAGAATTATTTGAACATAATTATTTGAACATCGTTTTCGAGGTTGGAGTCATTGAATTGGCTATCAGAATTCTGAGCTACAGGCGTAGGGTTCGGGGCCCGCTTAAGGGCCCCGAAAAATTTGGATTCTAAATGCTCTGTGGTGCTATCTGAGTCAATTTCTGACCACTTTAACCAATATTTTTAAAGCAAAAGATTCATTGAAGTACATAATAGGGCCCTGTAAATGGGACACGAGTTCAAAAATCTGAGGGGGGGGGGACATTTGATATTGTGTCCCCCACCCTTCAAAAAAGGGGGGGGAGGACATGCCCCCCCCCCCCTCAGGATTGACGCCCATGGTTAGAACGCCCCCTTGCGCTCAAACGTACGTGGCTTTTTGGAACTACGGAGCCTCTTTGTTTAGTTCTAACGTCTTTGTTTCAATGTGAATAACTATGCCCAACCGGGCTCGGTTGTTTTGTTGTTCTTGTTGTCGTCGTTGTTGTTGATGATGTTGTTGCTGTTGCTCACGGTGTTGCTGTTGCTGAGGTGGTTGTGGTGCAGAGATTCTGGTGGTCCTGGTGGTTAAATGGTTGTTGTGGTTTGCAGTGTGTGTAGTGGTTGTGGCGGTTATGGTGGCCGTGGTGGTTGTGCTGGTTGTTGTTGTTGCTCACGGTTGTTGCTTTTGTTGCGGTGGTTGTGGTGCAGAGATTCTGGTGGTTGTGGTGATTCAGTGGTTGTTGTGGTTTGCAGGTTGTGGTGTGTGTGGTGGTTGTGGCGGTTATGGTGGCCGTGGTGGTTCACGGTGCTGGTTGTTGTTGTTTTTGATATCGTTGTTGTTGATGATGTTGTTGCTCACGGTTGTAGCTGTTGTTGTGGCGGTTGTGGTGCAGCCTGATTCAGTGGTGGTTGTGGTGGTTCAGTGGTTGAATTTGTGGTTGTGGTTTGCAGGTTGTGGTGTGGTGGTTGTGGCGGTTATGGTAGCTGTGGCTGGACTGCTGGTTGTTGTTGTGGTGGTGGTGGTGGTGTGGTACGCAGCATTAATATCAATAGAGTTTCCACTTGCAAGACTTAATAATAGGAATCATATACAATGTATCATCATAGTTTTCGCTGACCCACGTGGGAAATTATTCCTGTTCTGAATACATTACCTAGGGCCAAGTCAGATGCATTACCTACGAGATGCAAAGCATAATTCGACTAGCTTCGACCTCATCTCATGATTTTCTTTTGACAGTGTTTCTTAGAATAAGTTAAGCATGAAGATCCACACAAAAGCTTGAGTAGGTCAAAGAGGAACAAATTGTTTTACCGTTGCAGTTCTGCCACTCATCTTCGCCATACTGGCAGTCGATGATGCGGTCACATGTATACTTCATGGGGATCTCGTCACCGTTAGAACAGCGGAACGTGTCTGAAAATCACCCCAAATAAAACAAAATACAACCATGCGTTACATGAATATTGTAAGACTATTTTTGATGTCTCCGTGTAGTTGATGTACGGCACAGGTTCGACATGAAAATTATCGGAACAAATAGAAATGTTTTGGTAATGTATGGGAGTTTGGGAAAGTATGAAACACAAAAAATGATTAAGCTTTACAATTCAGCACTCGTGCAAACGTTCTCTAAACAGTTGTTGGAAACTTTAATCTTCAAACTGGTCAGAGTTTTTCTAAGTAAATTTGGTGAAATCTATAATCGGACAGCAAGGCAACATAGCGGCGGCACGTTATAGGGGCAAGTTGGAAAATCAAGAACATTGATTTCTACTTAGTCATTTTACATTCCTGTCTATACAGAGAGCCCAGTTGAAGCCAAAAGTTTGTTCATTTTCAACTTCATTTAATATGTTCCAAGAATGTAGCAAGTATAACTCCGGCGTCCACATTATGCCTGCAGTTATGATTAAACCAGCCAGCATGATTGTACTCATCTATGCTAGATTCATATCCCTGGCAGTAAACATTGTGGCATGATCGGACCTGATCCTTGACCGAAGTAAGCGTTGCCCCACGCCTGGTATGCCGAAGGGCAACCAAACATGCGACAGACGACATGAGCGTCATTAATGCCCCAATTATCATCACAGACTGTACCCCACTGGCCTTGGTAGAAAACTTCTACTCAACCCTCGTTCGAACAGCCTCCATTAACGACACGAACTGTTAATGGAGCTCAGGTAACTGAAAATGAAATGCTTCGTGGATTAGGAATTAAAATAGAGTTTTGATATAAACTCACTGTAACATGCTTCAGTACTTCAAGTTGAAACACACTCAGACATATCAGTTACATTACTGCGTCTATGAGATCATGAGATAACACAATGTCAGTTCAAACACGGTGAACAGCGCATGAACGCTCCCAACTTGCCAATAATTAAGACTGCTTGGTAGACTGGCTCTGACCCCTATCATTATCGATTACATGTTGGTAAATGTGCATCAAATTGACTGTAATATGACTTCGCACGTCGTCTTTTTTTCTTTTTTTTCTTTTCGGGGGAGGCAAGGGGGGGGGGGAGGGGAAAGGAACCCTGGTCCCTCTTGAAAAATCCGCAATCTTGAGAAAAAAAAGCACCCACCTCCTTCGTTTTTTGAAAAAGGCCGGACGATCGAGAAACTACTTTAGTTTTTATTAACCGGCCTTATGGAGTGGCGTGTCTGCTTCATCCAGTAACTATTTCCCTTGTGCATATTCACCTTGACAGTTGTATTCATCTTCGCCAGAGTAGCAGTCTGAGTAGCCGTTGCATCTTTGGTAGTCTTGAATACATTGGCCGTTGTAGCATTGCCACTCATATGAACTGCAGCCGTAGGATGGTTCAGTGGCGTAGCCTACAGTGGCGTAGCCTACAATCGAAAAGTCAGTGAGAACACGTATTTGCGAAACTTGGAGTATGTTACAACTTTCTAAAAACTGTTTTGTTGCAGATATTTACCATAACAGTCGTATTCATCTTCGCCAGAGTAGCAGTCTGAGTATCCGTTGCATCTTTGGTAGTCTTGAATACATTGGCCGTTGTAGCATTGCCACTCAGGTGAACTGCAGCCGTAGGATGGTTCAGTGGCTGGTTCAGTGGCTGGTTCAGTGGCGTAGCCTACAATCGAAAAGTCAGTGAGTACACGTATTTACAAAACTTGGAGTATGTTACAACTTTCTAAAAACTGTTTTGTTGCAGATATTTACCATAACAGTCGTATTCATCTTCGCCAGAGTAGCAGTCTGAGTATCCGTTGCATCTTTGGTAGTCTTGAATACATTGGCCGTTGTAGCATAGCCACTCATATGAACTGCAGCCGTAGGCTGGTTCAGTGGCTGGTTCAGTGGATGGTTCAGTGGCGTAGCCTACAATCGAAAAGTCAGTGAGTACACGTATTTACCAAACTTGAAGTATGTTACAACTTTCTAAAAACTGTTTTGTTGCAGATATTTACCATAACAGTCGTATTCATCTTCGCCAGAGTAGCAGTCTGAGTATCCGTTGCATCTTTGGTAGTCTTGAATACATTGGCCGTTGTAGCATAGCCACTCATATGAACTGCAGCCGTAGGCTGGTTCAGTGGCTGGTTCAGTGGCTGGTTCAGTGGCGTAGCCTACAATCGAAAAGTCAGTGAGTACACGTATTTACCAAACTTGAAGTATGTTACAGCTTTCTTAAAACTGTTTTGTTGCAGTCTTGAATACACTGGCCGCTGTAATAGCATTGCCACTCATATGAACTGCAGCCGTAGGATGGTTCAGTGGTGTAGTCTGGAATTTAAAAGTGGTTTAAAGTCAATGAGATGTACGTTTAAGCTAAAATATGTTATGTGTTATCCTTTAGAAACTCTGGTTGTTGGGAATCTACAGTGTGACCCAAAATACAACCCGGAAACATTTGCCTTAAAAATAAAAGGGATCCCTAGATTTTTATGTTTTGGGCATTACCATAATCATCTGCAGCCGCACTAGGGTGGTTCTGGTGTAAAGTAATGTAAGGGAAAGTGAAGTCAAATGATTGAGCTTTACAATTCGGGAAACGTGTAAACATTTCTCTAAAAAGGTAGTTGGAAAATAGCAGAGATATTTTATCTTTTAATTTGCATGAGTTTGTGTATGCACCTTGATTTTTACATGTTCATTTTACTTTCCCGCCTCACCATTACAGGGCGCCCTGTTAAGGCCAATGTTCAAATTTTCAAGTTCATTTTATATGTTGCGACAATAAACCTACCATTGTTACAAGTAGATCCTGCGTCCTCATTATGTACACAGTTATGACTAAACCAGCCATTATGATAGCAATCAGCTATGTCATATTCATTTCCTTGGCAGTTAACATTGTCAAGCATGATTGGACCTGATCCTTGACCGAAGTGGGCGCTGCCCCACGCCTGGTATGCAGAAGGATAACCAAGCATGCGACAGACGACATGAGCGTCATTAATGCCCCATCCATCATCACAGACTGTACCCCACTGGCCTTGGTAGAAAACTTCAACTCGACCCTCGTTCAAAGAGCCTCCATTAACGAGACGAACTGGAGCTAAAGTAACAGAAAATGAAATGTGCGTGGATTAGGAATTAAAAAAAGACTTTTGATATAAACTCACTGTATAGTGCTTCAACTTAGTTTAAGTTGTAACACAAACTCAGACATCAGTTTCATTACTGCGTCTGAGATGTCACATTGTCAGTTCAAACACGGTTCAAAATGACGAACAGCGCATGAATGCAAGTCCACACTCGACAATAATAAACTTCTCGCTCGGTAGACTGGCTTTCTCCCCATCAGTATCGTTAAATATACGGACCGGGAACCAGTCTACTCGCATGGCGGACCTGTTTAGTAAACCAAAACAACAACACCACCAACATCACCAACAACAACACCGACAACAAAAGCCTTTTGTGTTCCAGAGTGTTGCAGACGCCTACAATAATTTGATCTTATTGACGAGCAACGGACAGTGCATCTATAAAACGTCAGTTTGAGAAAAGACTTATTTTCAATTAAATTCTGCGAATCGTTAATATTGAAGTCCTCGATTTCAAAGCAACTTGAGAATACGACTGGTATACATCTTTTCGGGTGGAAAGTGCAATTTGTTGGAAAAAGTTTCTTGGCCAATTTTTATATAAAGTTTGGCGGTGATTGGACGAATAAGTTTGCATTACCTGTACATTCAACACCGGCATCTTCACGGTGGTAGCAGTGTTCAGAGTAATAGGACGTGCAGTCCAGAATCGAACTTTCCGAACCGTTGCAGTAGACGTGTACAAGGTGAATAGGACCAACACCCGGGCCATAGGTAGCGTCACGCGGGGCACTAATGGCTGGTCCATAGCCGAGCTGTCTGCAGACGACACGGGCATCGTTCATGTCCCAGGAATGACTGCAAGCCGTTCCCCAGGAACCGTTGACAAACACCTCTACTCTGCCTTCATAGATGGTGCTGCCATTCACTAATCTTATCACGGAGGAGGGTAGATTGACGTCTACAGTGGGCGCAACGGTGTTTCCTATGAATATGGTGATTGACACAAATGGACTGAAGTACTACAAATTAAGTCAAATTAATGTTTGGAAGTACGTTTTGTCACTGCAATAAAATGCACGTATCTGCAGAGGTGATTAGTTACCATAACAGTTGTATTCATCTTCGCCAAAGTAGCAGTCAGAGTATCCGTTGCATCGTTGATAGTCTTGAATACATTGACCGTTGTTGTAGCATCTCCACTCATATGAACTGCAGCCGTTGTAGGATGGTTCAGTGGTGTAGTCTGGAAATGAAAAGTGTGTTTTAAAAGACAGTTGCAAAGATGTGTCAGCTGGTATGCTGAATTGCGAAGGACGCGGCTACAACGTGGTCGGGCCGCTGGCACGTAAAGGCGCCTATGGCTGCCGGCCACATCGACCCATATATGACCACGGAGCACAGCCTGAGATCGAAAGTGTTTGATTTTTCCGGAGGGAGGAAAACCGGAGGGCCCGGAGAAAAACCCTCTTGGCACAGGAGAGAACCAACGCACAACTCTACTCACATGTGATCTGCGGCCAGGATTCGAACCGTGGTAACCTTGGTGAGAGGCGAGCGCTTTATACGCACAAGCCACCCATGCCACCCATGATGATATTTACCGTAACAGTTGTATTCATCTTCGCCATAGTAGCAGTCAGAGTATCCGTTGCATCTTTGGTAGTCTTGAATACATTGGCCGTTGTAGCATTGCCACTCATATGAACTGCAGCCGGAGTAGGGTGGTTCAGTGGTGTAGTCTGGAAATGACCAGTGTTATTTAAAAAGACATTCATAAGTACCTAAAACAGTTTAACCATTCTGATTGGTCGAGAGACCGTCACGTGGGTGGTTTAATACGGTTGATAAAACACCAACCGGTTTTCAACACTTTTTTCTTTGGTGTAACATGAACGGGTGGCTTGTGTGGCTTGTGCGTAATGTATTATTTACAAAACTCGAAGTATGTTTCAACTTTAGGAAAACGTTTGGTTGTAGATATTTACCGTAACAGTTGTATTCATCTTCTCCATACAAGCAGTCTGAGTATCCGTTGCATCTTTGGTAGTCTTGAATACATTGACCGTTGTAGTAGCATCTCCACTGATATGAACTGCAGCCGTAGGATGGTTCAGTTGTGTAGTCTGAAAAGGAAAAGACAGTGAGACGAATTATGTAGAAAACTTGGAGTGTGTTTCAACTTTAGAAAACTGTTTTGTTGTAGATATTTACCGTAACAGTTGTATTCATCTTCCCCATAGTAGCAGTCAGAGTATCCGTTGCATCTTTGGTAGTATTGAATACACTGGCCGTCGTAGTAGCATTGCCACTGATATGAACTGCAGCCGTAGGATGGTTCAGTGGTGTAGCCTACAATTGAAAAGTCAATGAAATGCACGTATTTACAAAACTTGGAGTATGTTACAACTTTCTAAAAACTGTTTTGTTGCAGATATTACTATAACAGTCGTATTCATCTTCGCCATTCAAGCAGTCTGAGTATCCGTTGCATCGTTTGTAGTATTGAATACACTGGCCGCTGTAGTAGCATTGCCACTCATATGAACTGCAGCCGTAGAATGGTTCAATGGTGTAGCCTACAATCGAAAAGTCAGTGAGATGCATATATTTACAAAACTTGGAGTATGATACAACTTCCTAAAAACCTTTGCTTTTGCAGATATTTACCATAACAGTCGTATTCATCTTCGCCATAGTAGCAGTCTGAGTATCCGTTGCATCTTTGGTAGTCTTGAATACATTGACCGTTGTAGCATTGCCACTCATATGAACTGCAGCCGTAGGATGGTTCAGTGGTGTAGCCTACAATCAAAAAGTCAGTGAGTACACGTATTTACAAAACTTGGAGTATGTTACAACTTTCTAAAAACTGTTTTGTTGCAGATATTTACTATAACAGTCGTATTCATCTTCGCCATACAAGCAGTCTGAGTATCCGTTGCATTTTTTGTAGTATTGAATACACTGGCCGCTGTAGTAGCATTGCCACTCATATGAACTGCAGCCTTAGGATGGTTCAGTGGTGTAGCCTACAATCAAAAAGTCAGTGAGTACACGTATTTACAAAACTTGGAGTATGTTAAAACTTTCTAAAAACTGTTTTTTGCAGATATTTACCATAACAGTCGTATTCGTCTTCGCCATAGTTGCAGTCTGAGTATCCGTTGCATCTTTGGTAGTATTGAATACACTGGCCGCTGTAGTAGCATTGCCACTCATATGAACTGCAGCCGTAGGATGGTTCAGTGGTGTAGCCTACAATCGAAAAGTCAGTGAGATGCATGTATTTACAAAACTTGGAGTATGTTACAACTTTCTAAAAACCTTTTTTTTTGCAGATATTTACCATAACAGTCGTATTCATCTTCGCCATAGTAGCAGTCTGAGTATCCGTTGCATCTTTGGTAGTCTTGAATACATTGACCGTTGTAGCATTGCCACTCATATGAACTGCAGCCGTAGGATGGCTCAGTGGTGTAGCCTACAATCAAAAAGTCAGTGAGTACACGTATTTACAAAACTTGGAGTATGTTACAACTTTCTAAAAACTGTTTTTTGCAGATATTTACTATAACAGTCGTATTCATCTTCGCCATACAAGCAGTCTGAGTAGCCGTTGCATCTTTTGTAGTATTGAATACACTGGCCGCTGTAGTAGCATTGCCACTCATATGAACTGCAGCCTTAGGATGGTTCAGTGATGTAGCCTACAATCAAAAAGTCAGTGAGTACACGTATTTACAAAACTTGGAGTATGTTAAAACTTTCTAAAAACTGTTTTTTGCAGATATTTACCATAACAGTCGTATTCGTCTTCGCCATAGTTGCAGTCTGAGTATCCGTTGCATCTTTGGTAGTATTGAATACACTGGCCGCTGTAGTAGCATTGCCACTCATATGAACTGCAGCCGTAGGATGGTTCAGTGGTGTAGCCTACAATCAAAAAGTCAGTGAGATGCATGTATTTACAAAACTTGGAGTATGTTACAACTTTCTAAAAACCTTTTTTTTTGCAGATATTTACCATAACAGTCGTATTCATCTTCGCCATAGTAGCAGTCTGAGTATCCGTTGCATCTTTGGTAGTCTTGAATACATTGACCGTTGTAGCATTGCCACTCATATGAACTGCAGCCGTAGGATGGTTCAGTGGTGTAGCCTACAATCAAAAAGTCAGTGAGTACACGTATTTACAAAACTTGGAGTATGTTAAAACTTTCTAAAAACTGTTTTGCTGCAGATATTTACAATAACAGTCGTATTCATCTTCGCCATAGTTGCAGTCTGAGTATCCGTTGCATCTTTGGTAGTATAGAATACACTGGCCGCTGTAGTAGCATTGCCACTCATATAAACTGCAGCCGTAGGATGGTTCAGTGGTGTAGCCTACAATCAAAAAGTCAGTGAGTACACGTATTTACAAAACTTGGAGTATGTTACAACTTTCTAAAAACTGTTTTGTTGCAGATATTTACCATAACAGTCGTATTCATCTTCGCCATAGTAGCAGTCTGAGTAGCCGTTGCATCGTTGGTAGTCTTGAATACACTGGCCGCTGTAGTAGCATTGCCACTCATATGAACTGCAGCCGTAGGATGGTTCAGTGGTGTAGTCTGGAATTTAAAAGTGTGGTTTAAAGTCAATGAGATGTACATTTAAGCTAAGATATGTTATGTGTCATCCTTTAGAAACTCTGGTTGTTGGGAATATACAGTGTGACCCAAAATACAACCCGGAAACATTTGCTTCAAAAATAAAAGGGATCGCTAGATTTTTATGTTTTGGGCATTACCATAATCATCTGCAGCCGCACTAGGGTGGTTCTGGTGTAAAGTAATGTACGGGAAAGTGAAGTCAAATGATTGAGCTTTACAATTCGGGAAACGTGTAAACATTTCTCTAAAAAGGTAGTTGAAAAATAGCAGAGATATTTTATCTTTTAATTTGCATGAGTTTGTGTATGCACCTTGATTTTTACATGTTCATTTTACTTTCCCGCCTCACCATTACAGGGCGCCCTGTTAAGGCCAATGTTCAAATTTTCAAGTTCATTTTATATGTTGCGACAATAAACTTACCACTGTTACAAGTAACTCCTGCGTCCTCATTATGTACACAGTTATGACTAAACCAGCCATTATGATAGCAATCAGCTATGTCATATTCATTTCCTTGGCAGTTAACATTGTCAAGCATGATTGGACCTGATCCTTGACCGAAGTGGGCGCTGCCCCACGCCTGGTATGCAGAAGGATAACCAAGCATGCGACAAACGACATGAGCGTCATTAATGCCCCATCCATCATCACAGACTGTACCCCACTGGCCTTGGTAGAAAACTTCAACTCGACCCTCGTTCAAAGAGCCTCCATTCACGAGACGAACTGGAGCTAAAGCAACAGAAAATGAAATGTTCGTGGATTAGGAATTAAAAAAAGACTTTTGATATAAACTCACTGCATAGTGCTTCAACTTAGTTTAAGTTGTAATACAAACTCAGACATCAGTTTCATTACTGCGTCTGAGATGTCACATTGTCAGTTCAAACACGGTTCAAAATGACGAACAGCGCATGAATGCAAGTCCACACTCGACAATAATAAACTTCTCGGTCGGTAGACTGGCTTTCTCCCATCAGTATCGATAAATATACGGACCGGGAACCATTCTACTTGCATGGCGGACCTGTTTAGTAAGCAAAAACAACACCACCACCAACAGCACCAACATCAACAACGGCAACAAAAGCCTTTTGTGTTCCAGAGTGTTGCAGACGCCTACAATAATTTGATTTTATTGACGAGAAACGGACAGTGCATCTATAAAACGCCAGTTTGAGAAAAGACTTATTTTCAATTAAATCCTGCGAATCGTTAATATTGAAGTCCTCGATTTCAAAGCAACTTGAGAATACGACTGGTATACATCTTTTCGGGTGGAAAGTGCAATTTGTTGGAAAAATTTTCTTGGCCAATTTTTATATAAAGTTTGGCGGTGATTGGACGAATAAGTTTGCATTACCTGTACATTCAACACCGGCATCTTCACGGTGGTAGCAGTGTTCAGAGTAATAGGATGTGCAGTCGAGAATCGAACTTTCCGAACCGTTGCAGTAGACGTGTACAAGGTGAATAGGACCAACACCCGGGCCATAGGTAGCGTCACGCGGGGCACTAATGGCTGGTCCATAGCCGAGCTGTCTGCAGACGACACGGGCATCGTCCATGCCCCAGGAATGACTGCAAGCCGTTCCCCAGGAACCGTTGACAAACACCTCTACTCTGCCTTCATAGATGGTGCTGCCATTCACTAATCTTATCACGGAGGAGGGTAGATTGACGTCTACAGTGGGCGCCACGGTGTTTCCTATGAATATATGGTGAAATCGACATAAATGGATCGAAGTACTACAAATTAAGTCAAATTAATGTTAGGAAGTACGTTTTGTCACGTCACTGCAATAAAATACACGTATCTGCAGAGGTGATTAGTTACCATAACAGTTGTATTCATCTTCGCCATAGTAGCAGTCAGAGTATCCGTTGCATCGTTGATAGTCTTGAATACATTGACCGTTGTTGTAGCATCTCCACTCATATGAACTGCAGCCGTAGTAGGATGGTTCAGTGGTGAAGTCTGGAAATGAAAAGTGTGTTTTAAAAGACAGTTGCAAAGATGTGTCAGCTGGTATGCTGAATTGCGAAGGACGCGGCTACAACGTGGTCGGGCCGCTGGCACGTAAAGGCGCCTATGGCTGCCGGCCACATCGACCCATATATTACCACGGAGCACAGCCTGAGATCGAAAGTGTTTGATTTTTCCGGAGGGAGGAAAACCGGAAGGCCCGGAGAAAAACCCTCTTGGCACAGGAGAGAACCAACGCACAACTCTACTCACTTGTGATCTGCGGCCAGGATTCGAACCGTGGTCACCTTGGTGAGAGGCGAGCGCTTTATACGCACAAGCCACCCATGCCACCCATGATGATATTTACCGTAACAGTTGTATTCATCTTCGCCATAGTAGCAGTCAGAGTATCCGTTGCATCTTTGGTAGTCTTGAATACATTGGCCGTTGTAATAGCATCGCCACTCATATGAACTGCAGCCGTAGTAGGGTGGTTCAGTGGTGTAGTCTGGAAATGAACAGTGTCGTTTAAAAGACATTCATAAATACCTAAAACACTTAAATCATTCCGATTGGTCGAGAGACCGTCACGTGGGTGGTTTAATACGGTTGATAAAACACCAACCGGTTTTAAACACTTTTTTCTTTGGTGTAACATGAATGGGTGGCATGGGTGGCTTGTGCGTAGGCTTGTGCGTATTGTATTGTTTACAAAACTTGAAGTATGTTTCAACTTTAGGAAAACGTTTTGTTGTAGATATTTACCGTAACAGTTGTATTCATCTTCGCCATACAAGCAGTCTGAGTATCCGTTGCATCTTTGGTAGTCTTGAATACATTGACCGTTGTAGTAGCATCTCCACTGATATGAACTACAGCCATAGGATGGTTCAGTGGTGAAGTCTGAAAAGGAAAAGACAGTGAGATGAATTATGTACAAAACTTGGAGGGTGTTTCAACTTTAGAAAACTTTTTTGTTGTAGATAATTACCGTAACAGTTGTATTCATCTTCGCCATAGTAGCAGTCAGAGTATCCGTTGCATCTTTGGTAGTCTTGAATACATTGACCGTTGTAATAGCATCGCCACTCATATGAACTGCAGCCGTAGTAGGGTGGTTCAGTGGTGTAGTCTGGAAATGAACAGTGACGTTTAAAAGACATTCATAAATACCTAAAACAGTTTAACCATTCCGATTGATCAAGAGGGTGGTTTAATACGGTCGATAAAACACCAACCGGGTCTAAACAATTTCTCCTGGTGTAACATGAATATGGGTTCCTAGGAAATCTGGTCCCTTTTACCCTGTTATTGGTTGAAGCCTCACACGTGACCAGTCGATTTCCTAATTATCTTCACTTAGGCATGTGCACTACTAATAATGTGTCCGTATGTATATTGGAGCTCTGAGTTCACACTACACCGGCACCGCTGCGTTCTGCGGCACATCGCGAGGTATGCGCCACGCGCACCAATCTCCATATAAGGATTTTTTTGTATTACTCGTGAAAAGTACATACCATAAACATAGCTAAAGGGGTGTTTGCCAAAAAATTAAGCAAAGTCGGTGGGTTTTCAGTTGTTTTGAGTTTTTGGCCGAAAGATATTGATGAATGGGAATAAATATGTGCTTAACCGCAATTAAAAAAGTACGTTCAACACCAGCCGAGCACATATTTATTCCCTTAGTTGGACAGTTATGTTGTGTCCCATCTTTAACAAACGTTTTTGTATTGAACATTTACCGTAACAGTTGTATTCATCTTCGCCATAGTAGCAGTCTGAGTATCCGTTGCATCTTTGGTAGTCTTGAATACATTGACCGTTGTAATAGCATCGCCACTCATATGAACTGCAGCCGTAGTAGGATGGTTCAGTGGTGTAGTCTGGAATTTGGGTAAATCAAAAAAAGTAATGAAAATGTTGACAGTTGTTGAAACAATGACATATGTCGTCTTTTCTTTTTGGACGTTTTAGTATCCTTTGTACGTCTTATATAAAACACCAAATTGAGCATAATACAAAAGCGACTCAAGTGTCGTTAAGATACGTTGGTGAGATCGCAGGATGCGCTCTTCTTTGTTTCTGAAACGGTGGCTGAAAATGTTTAAGTTATACCGAGTAAATGTGTACCCGTCTTTGAAATGATAACTGAAAGCACCATGGGGGAGGTATATGTAATACAAAACGATTTAACTCCCTAAAAATCATCCTGACAGATTTTAGCTGAAACATGCCTCCTGTTTAACCCATCGCTGGTGACCCAGTGCTTGCCTATACATAATGAATGGAGGTAGAGAGAGGACACCATTGGACGTAACGTGGAGTGTAACCTATACGTATGTCGATATTAGTTATACTTCCTAATTCATTTATGACTGGGATTGGAGTTGGAGTTGCAAGTTGGGCTGTTTTCTAGTTAAATCTTATTATTGTAATAATGGTTAACACTAAATCTGTATGCCCCAATATAACTTAAAATTCTAAGTTACCATAACAGTTGTATTCATCTTCGCCAAAGTAGCAGTCAGAGTATCCGTTGCATCGTTGATAGTCTTGAATACATTGACCGTTGTTGTAGCATCTCCACTCATATGAACTGCAGCCGTTGTAGGATGGTTCAGTGGTGTAGTCTGGAAATGAAAAGTGTGTTTTAAAAGACAGTTGCAAAGATGTGTCAGCTGGTATGCTGAATTGCGAAGGACGCGGCTACAACGTGGTCGGGCCGCTGGCACGTAAAGGCGCCTATGGCTGCCGGCCACATCGACCCATATATGACCACGGAGCACAGCCTGAGATCGAAAGTGTTTGATTTTTCCGGAGGGAGGAAAACCGGAGGGCCGGAGAAAAACCCTCTTGGCACAGGAGAGAACCAACGCACAACTCTACTCACATGTGATCTGCGGCCAGGATTCGAACCGTGGTCACCTTGGTGAGAGGCGAGCGCTTTATACGCACAAGCCACCCATGCCACCCATGGTGATATTTACCGTAACAGTTGTATTCATCTTCGCCATAGTAGCAGTCAGAGTATCCGTTGCATCTTTGGTAGTATTGAATACACCAGCCGTCGTAGTAGCATTGCCACTCATATGACCTGCAGCCGTAGGATTGTTCAGTGGTGTAGTCTGGAATTGAACAGTGTCGTTTAAAAGACAAATAAATACCTAAAACAGTTTAACCATTCCGATTGGTCGAGAGACCGTCACGTGGGTGGTTTAATACGGTTGATAAGACACCAACCGGGTTTAAACACTTTTGTCCTGGTGTAACATGAATTTGGGTTCCTAGGAAATCTGGTCCCTTTTACCCTGTTATTGGTTGAAGTCTCACACGTGACCAGTCGATTTCCTAATTATCTTCACTTAGGCATGTGCACTACTAATAATGTGTCCGTATGTATATTGGAGCTCTGAATTCACACTACACCGGCACCGCTGCGTTCTGCGGCACATCGCGCAGTACGCGCCACATCGCGCAGTACGCGCCACGCGCGCACCAATCTCCATATAAGGAGATTTTTTTGTATTACTCGTGAAAAGTACATACCATAAACATAGCTAGAGGGGTGTTTGACAAAAAATGAAGCAAAGTCGGTGGGTTTTCAGAAACAGTCTGAGTTTTGGGAAGAAAGATATTTATGAATGGGAATAAATATGTGCTTAACCGCAATTAAAAAAGTACGTGCAACACCAGCCGAGCACATATTTATTCTCTTAGTTGGACAGTTATGTTGTGTCCCATCTTTAAAGGTAGAGTCCATCATTTGTAATTTGTGCATTTTGTTCGTTTGAAGCAACAAAAGAGTTCAAAATCTTAAGAAGGGTGCTGAACAACTAACCTGATGAAGTTTCAGCTAAGCTTCAGCTGTACATTCCGAGAAAAACAGCATTCTAAGATCTCAATTTCAAATCAAAAGTTGCTGAATCATGTTTAGAATTGTTTTGAATTGCAGCTATACGCGACGTCGCGCACTGATCCGACGAATTATAACAACCGCGCGCGCGTGTGCGTCTTTCGAATACTTGTGCGCGCTGCGCTGAATAACAAAACGAACTACTAATTTAAATTTCCCTACGGTGCTTCTTAAGAATCACCGTTGGAAATGCCTTCTTTCGTTGATTACTTCAAAATGACAGCTTCCCAGAAAGAATAATTTCACAGGGAGTTTAGTCTCCTTACTATCTTTCAACCAAGTTAGTTTTTCAACAATAATTACGCCAGTTACTTTTCGGATGGCTGCAAATGATGGACTCTACCTTTAACAAACGTTTTGCATTGAACATTTACCGTAACAGTTGTATTCATCATCGCCATACACGCAGTTTGAGTGTCCGTCGCATCTTTGGTAGTCTTGAATACATTGGCCGCTGTAGTAGCAATGCCACTCATATGAACTGCAGCCGTAGTAGGATGGTTCGGTGGTGTAGTCTGGAATTTGAGTAAATCAAAAAAGTAATGAAAATGTTGACAGTTTTTGAAACAACGACATAATTATGTCGTCTGTTCTTTCTTACGTTTTAGCTTTGTACGTCTTATATAAAACACCCAGGTTATCTTTTCCGTTTTAGCATAATACAAAAGCGACTCAAGTGTCGTTAAGATACGTTGGTGAGA